TCATACGTAAAAGCAAGAGTGACTAGATACACAGGTCATTGAATGTTGATCTGACTGGTTAATCAAACAAGCGCACGAATCACATTGTTCGATGGGTTTATTCATAAAGCCCCTGAACGGAAACTACACATATATTGTATATTCGATCATAGACTACGGAATAAAAACTTTGGAGCTATTGACCACTACAACTGTTAATCGACTTTGTGATGTGATCGGCTTCACTGAATTTCTGGCATGAGGTTACCGACCCCCATTGCATTCGTACGTAAATTATAATGCAGGCATGACATCGGTAAAGTGCCGTGATTGTTTTTGGATTTGTTTAGTAAGAGATGTTGTTTTGAGCTCAGCGCTACAATACAAGAAGTAATGATTGTATTATGTTGGTACAGATCAGTTCTACTCGAGGACGTCTTCATAAACCGTCAAGTTTTTAAATGACGTTAGATCAATTTTCACAAATCAGAACTGAGTTAAGTACATGATTTAGCGGTTGATAAAAGTATGTTGTTGTGCAAAAAAAATAAACGTTGATACGAGTTCGTTCGAATAGCGAGCCATATCGAGCGACATGAGGTGAAGTCTTTGGCACTCATTCGTTCATTCAGTCTNTCATACGTAAAAGCAAGAGTGACTAGATACACAGGTCATTGAATGTTGATCTGACTGGTTAATCAAACAAGCGCACGAATCACATTGTTCGATGGGTTTATTCATAAAGCCCCTGAACGGAAACTACACATATATTGTATATTCGATCATAGACTACGGAATAAAAACTTTGGAGCTATTGACCACTACAACTGTTAATCGTCTTTGTGATGTGATCGGCTTCACTGAATTTCTGGCATGAGGTTACCGACCCCCATTGCATTTGTACGTAAATTGTAATGCCGGCATGACATCGGTAAAGTGTCGTGATTGTTTTTGGATTTGTTTAGTAAGATATGTTGTTTTGAGCTCAGCGCTACAATACAAGAAGGAATGATTGTATTATGTTGGTACAGATCAGTTCTACTCGAGGACCTCTTCATAAACCGTCAAGTTTTTAAATGACGTTACATCAATTTTCACAAATCAGAACTGAGTTACATGATTTAGCGGTTGATAAAACTATGTTGTTGTGCAAAAAAAATATACGTTGATACGAGTTCGTTCGAATAGCGAGCCATATCGAGCGACATGAGGTGAAGTCTTTGGCACTCATTCGTTCATTCAGTCTGTTCCCAACTATAACCGGCTTCCTGAGCAATCAGCAGGTGAACCAAACGAGTACGTTTTAGTCTGCTATAAAAATCACTTGGTTGCGCGCTGAAAACTCGTTATTTACATGCACTTACCTCCGCCATTTTTGTAGCAAAGGTAGGGAAACCGCCAAATGTTTCCCAGTCCTACAGAAAACCCTATCAAGGCTAAAACGAAGTCGATTGTCTTGCCCCAAGTTTCGCGCTTCTTGACCTCGCTCCCCATCGTGTGCAGTGGTTCTCTTTACTCCCGGCTGTACTGCGTCCACAGTACAATGCACACGCTATAACCATGGGGCCTTTGTCATTTATGAGACACGGAATGCATTAATTTAATTATTCGCATCACTGAAATTAAGCGCTGAGATGAATAAATTGATTCTGTGAATGGCGTGCGCCTCAAACAAGTCGACGATTGGTAATTTGGCCAGACAACACAGTCACTCGATTTAGCTTAAGATGTTTCATTCGCTTTAGCCAGACTGCAGAGAAGTCTAACTGCATCAAGTCTTAAAGAATGATAAACAATACTCTTCACTGATAACACTAATTGAAATAAACAGAATTGAATATTTTAAAGAGAGTTCTTGAAGTCTCGGTTAATGTGTTTCGGGCCACAGCCTCTGGATTGAAGCCACTTAAAAGACCTTAAAAACAACGCCCTCATTTTGGATATCACAATTGCAAACTAGGCAGTCTAAAAGAGGCACTTGTATAACTTATAGAATAATCTTTGTTTACAATATTTGTCTCATTAGCATAAGCGATACAGTCTCTGATGAGCTACAAAAACATTAGTTCTGAATACTGAAAGGGCACAGCGCGATTAACTGTCCCAAAGAATTAACCCCAATGTATTGGACACTCATTTGTGCGACGCGAGTTTAAAAACTAAAGATTTTACAAAGAGTGTATGAGCTCATTAGCGCTTTTGCCACCCAGAAATTTTGCAGGTTTTGAAAGCCAAATTCTCCTCGAGTTTTACACCCAAAAAGCCAAAAGCCTCACCAATTACTAAGTTCCCCAAGTTCTTTAAATGTTTGTTGTCAATTCGTGTCTAGCGTAATGCTTTCTCTCCACAGTCGTATGTTTAAAAACTTAAACAATGACGTCACCAAAGATTCGCCTACAATACGCAATAGAAGACCGAACAGGAAAATGGAACACCTCAAGTGCAAAAGTATTTTGCTAACTAGGGGTTAACACACTGTGCTTCTAAACTGAAATCTTATGGTTTGTAGCAATGCCCTCAAAAGAGGACTATTATACTCCTAATCGTACTATAACAAAATTCTCGAATGTGATTGGTCCCCCGCGCGCCTACTTGTATAGGTAATCAGACTATTTCGAGTGCAATGTGAAATTTGAAATACATAAATACAATTAAAATACAATTTAAAAAAGCATGAAGCCGTAGGGCTCGTGCAATTTGCAGTCTTTAAAAATTTTACTAGTGCTTACTTGTTCAAACTTGCACAAGAAAAAAATCATTTGATTACTTCTACAAATAGGCGCGCAAAATACGCGAAAAAGTTTCCCTTTGATCGGGTTTACTTCGAGTCACAGTTCATTGGTCCCACTACATTAACATTACTGACCGAGAAATCACAACCCTGATTGACATGCTGACACTTGTGGAAAAGTGAAGACCAAAAATATCCTGTCAATCAATAAAGATCAAATTCTGGAAGCATCTATCATTCCAGAGCGTTTTCATTTTAGGGACCTCAAAGAAAAAGAAATAGGTGTGCAAAGACGTCGTAATTTGTTTACGTGAAAATGTTTGCAGTCGATTCCAGTTGCGATCAACATGTTCAAAATTCAAACTCTTCGAATTGTAAAATGAGTTAGAAATACCGTCCTCCCCAGGCAGCTGACTGTTGCTTTCCAGGAGGTGCTGTACTTCACATGTTAAAAATGACTTTACATTAGTGGAAATGGTTTATGGATCTGGCATAGAGTCAAATAAAGTGGATCGGAAGTACGCATTTCCGCAGGACGACGCGACAGAAACTTTTTGATGATTGCAAAGGACGTCTCTCATCTCCTGTAGCAAATATTTCGGTGTAAGGAAGCTTCTGGGCTTTGCGGATAGTTTCCATTTCTTTCCATCACTGTATACTTTGATGGATCCTTTTTGTATGACAGGTTACCATTGCAACAATACAACCTGCTAGAATCACCCTTAATTTTAGCTTTAAGAGCTTATAACTAAAACAAAAAGCTTGATGACCCCCCATTTTCTTGTTATCGACTTGTAATAAGTATGATAATACAATGAGTATGGCATAAAGAAGTGGTTAAAAGGAAAACAAGGTGTGTCAATTGAGACTTTATTCATGCGTATGGGGGGAGATGTTGCGATATACTGTCCAAATGTGTTAGATTGAACTCTAAAATAGGGCAGTCCTTCATTTCAATGTCGTGCCCTTACCATTTTTTAACTGTATACGGTATTTACCTCGGACAGCAATCTATAT